ATATACTACATGCAAATGCCTCTACGTTTTTCATTTTCTATGGCACATTCGTTGATTAATGGCTTAATGCTTTTAGCTTGTTGCATATATGGCATTGTGCAAGCTACAACCACCCGACGCTTGACCATTTTTGGACCTACTTGTATTACATAATTTTAGACGTGAATGCTCATATGAATATTTTACTTTCATAGCTAGTTCTTGCATTCCAAAATTGCCGACCCAATAGAAGTTAGAGCCTTAGGGCGATATAACAATTTAGGGAACTAACACTTCTAAATTTCGTTTTTCGGACCTTTTTATTATAAATATTTTTTCTTTCCAGAATTGACTCTTTTTATGGATTTTTCCTACAATACTGTAATTAGACCTAGGCACCTCTGCCTACACTTACTTGGGCTGTGCCGGCGCAAAGTTTTAAAAACTTTTAATTTAAATCGAATCCTAGATCAAATATCGGCCATGCGTCTTTCCCTATAGCAAATCCACTAGATCATTCAGTAAACAAGAAGCAATCGATCTCTTTATTAATTTAAGCTAGTTTTTAATACACATTTTTTGGTCCTTAATCATACCGCATTCGATCTTAATTATTGATTATGATCACTAGGTAAGAGCTAAATAAGAGTTCAGTGTTTTAAAATTTCTTTGAATCAATAACACTGAGCTTCTTAGTCACATATACTCACATGGTTCGCAAATAAGTAACATGTTGAATCAAATAACTGGATCTTATTTAAACAAGTTTAAGAGAGATTAACCGCATCGTTGATTATACCACATACACATGTGTGAGTTGTGATTATAATCATCGCAATATTAACTTCACTATCATAATTTAGTTACGTAAATGTAAATACTACTTTTATTACATGATTAAAGATGCAAAATCTTACAATTACAGGAGTGCTTGATCAGTTTCATTTATTTTATTTGTTTATATCTTAAGAGAAATCATGCAAAAAATCATAATATTTCAAGGCTGAATAGCTCAAAATAATTTAGATTCTTTGTAAATTAAAACCTCAAGTTTTTTGAATTTACGATGGACTGTCAATTGTTTCAATCGTAAGGTTATAGTTATAACCTCAAGTTATATGAATAAATCTATTATAAATACATCATTATCTATTGCTCAATAGTTATACAAACAAATTAATGAAAAGCTATCATCTTAAAAATATGTATCATGTTATTTATTTGAATAATCCAGTATATGTTCTCATCTTCTGCCATATCTATGGGTCATATCTATAAGCAACTTATTGGTCTATTGTTTTTCTCTATTTTAATCATAAAAGATGATATATACTACTTTACTATAAATGACTACTTTTTTTATTTGGCTATATCTCAGATAAATCATTGGATTAAAAATTTCTAAATATGAACATGGTTCAAAAATATTTTAGAATCTTCGTTACGAAACTTTAAAGAATTCGAATATACGATGGAATCTAATAACATGAGAGCAACACACTAAGAGGTGGGATCAAGAAATTAAATTATAGTACGGTTATATGTGTGCGTAAGACGTTACATATAATGGTGTGTATGGGCCGTTGACTTGACTTCATGATATAGATCGTTCGTATTTTGATATGGAGTATATGCATGCCGTCTAAAAGGGGGTGGCAAGTTGTTCTATCGCACATGGTCCATGTACAAAAATTTTAAACTTTTAAAAAAAAAAAAACCAATTTTTTTTTTTTAATTTTTCTTGCAAAGGGTCCAAAATTTTTTATTTTGCCTAGATCCTTACAAAAAATTGAGACGGTCCTGGGTATATGTTTTGACTTCTTGATTAATGAACAATTTTGGTATCAAGAGAAGGATAAATGGTAAAAACGTTGTGTTATAACTTATATGTAAAGTAACACAACATTAATTTTTTGGAAAATATCATGATCTTTATTCAAATATTCGTGGGGTTTGTCTATACGAGAACAAATATCATGATTTTTGATATTGTCGTGTTGCACACACACAAAAAGACGTTGTCGTGACTGAGGTGTAAATGGGTAGCACGATCTTAATCTTTACTTCTTTCTTGCTTTAAGTTATGTCGAGCAATTTTTTTTATTTATTTATTGAATACATGGAATTTTAGAGCATATTATGATAAGTTGATCTTATAAGTAACTTTTTTCCTCTATCATATAGTTTTTTTTTTCCTAGAAAAATTTACTCTATCAAATAGTTTTATGAAAAATAGTAACATCAATACGCTTACATTAATTGTATAAAACAAATTTCTACGACGATCATATTATCTATTTTATATAGTTTTATGAAAAATAATATTATCAATACGCTTACATTAATTGTATAAAACAAATTTCTATGACGATCATATTATTTATCTTATATGGATGATCTAATTTATAATACACAGTATTGTTTTTATTTTTTGCTAAGTAATACACAGAATTATGACAATGATCTTTAAAAACATCTAAAGTATCTGAATTTACGAACTCCAATAGCTTGGTTTTCAAACTTGAATCATCAAATAAAACATTAGACAAAAAACGATTTTGTTCAATTCACAACTTGAATTAACTTAGTTAGAGGTCAATGTCCACTTGTTTGAGAAAATAAAATCAAAATAAGTAGAGCCTGTAAACAACCCACAACATATTATATAATATTATTACTTATCTGGATCTGCTTTGGAATCTGACTGAAATATTAAAATAAAAGTTCTTACGTTTATGAGTAAGAAACAGAAAGAAAAAAATTGGTGTGACTTAAATCAATTCTATGCCACATGCATTACAAGAATGTATTTTGATGTCTGGACTCTGGACGATGAATACAAATAGAAAGAAAAAAATTGGTGTGATTTTTTTTTTAGCGACTACATTTTTAAACTAAAATGAAGATGAAGAGTCTATAACATCAATATGAAAATACATAACTAAAAATCTGAAACGTTATTAATCTATTTAAACCAATTTTAGTATTTTATAATTATTCTACGAAACATTACTTAAATAAAATATTTCGCTAATTGATCGATCATTCAACTATTCCATTATTTCAATATTCATACAGGTCAATCATATTATGTATAATGAATGTAATGCAATAGTCAATTTTGGCATGGCTATATATTTTCTTTAATAAGCCATAATCAATCTAAGATACAGTATTCGCTAATGATATAATGATATTTTGTCAGCCATATTATGATATGCTAATACTCTGAAAAATAAATAAATCAAGAGTTGAACCTTTAGACTTTTGCAAAATTGTAGAATACAATGTTAGAATTTTGTTTAAGACAAAACAATCTTACGCGCCGACCACCACCAAATTGACCAATCTACTAATCGATGATTGGAGTAAGC